CGCGATTTCTGCCCCACAGGGTGTCGGGCTAGGAGGGTAGGGGCAGGGAAGAAGGGAGGCGGAGGCGGTGGGGCGAGGGACGGGGGCCGCAGCAGCGCGGGGCGGTTGGTCGCGGCCGGCGGCTGCACGCCTTCCGGGGGGCGGACGGGCGGCAGGAAGAGGGGCTGGGGTTTCCTCGACCGCGCGCGGCCGCGCCCGTCCGGCCCCAAGCGCCGAGCGCGCCGGAGCGAAAAACAGGGTCCACGTGTGCTGCGTAACGCATGGCTAGAAAGACACCCGTCGCCATTCGTAAAACCAGGCCAGACCCGCGTGGACTCCCAGATGCTGTTCCTGTTATCCACACAAGTTGGAGGAAGGCAGGGTCCCAAAACATCCCCAGGGCGCACCCGGCGAGGCCTCGAGGCCGTCCAGCTCAGTCAGCAACGTCGACAGCAGCCGCGCCGCCACCCCCGGCGCGCCGCCGCCGCCGCCGCCGCTGTCCGCGCCCCCGCTGGCCCCGCGGCCGGGGGCGATGGCGTCTGCTTCGTCCAGGAAGACGATGGCGGGGGCGGCCATGCGGGCGCGCTCGAAGGTGTCGCGGAGGGCCTCCTCGCCCTCGCCCACATACATGGAGTACAGCTGGGTGTGTGGGATTGTGTGAGAGAGTGAGTGCGTGTGTGCGCGAGAGAGAGAAAGAGAGAGTGTGTGTGTGAGTGTGTGCACACGTGTGTGAGTGTGTGCACGCGTGTGGTGTGTAAAAGTGTGTGAAAGTGTGTAAAAGTGTGTGTGTGTGTGCGTGTCAGAGAGGGAGGGGGAGGTTGATGCAGTCTCGAGCAGGCCTGCCGCATTCAGATTCCACCTCGCCACAAAGGCCGGCGGGCAGGACGGGCCGACGGCTGCGAGCGCCGACCGCACGCGGCGTGGGCACGGTTGGCCAGGGCTCAGTGCTGCCCAGTGCCCAGTGCAGACAGCAAACGCGGCCACCCACGTGCCGCTCGCCCGCGCGCCCTCGAAGCACTCAGGCTGCACCGCTGGGGTGCGGCTCGACGCATCGGGCGGGCGGGATGCGTCGAGCCGCGCCCGCGACGCGGCCTGGATGTTTTGTGGGCGCGCGGGCGGACGCCCAATCAACAGCTCAACCCGTCAACGCGTATGGCCAGACCCACGGGGCGGCGAACGGGTCCGACTAACCCGCGCACCTGGGCGCAGGACAGCGGCAGGAACGTGGCGCCGCTCGCGCCCGCCGCTGCGCGCGCGAGCATCGTCTTACTGCACCCCGGCGGCCCGTGCAGCAGCACCCCCCGCGGCGCCGCGAGCCCGAGCCGCGCGAACGCGGCCGCCCGGCGCAGCGGCCACTCGACGGCCTGCTGTAACCGCCGCTTGACGGTTTCGTAGCCGCCGATGTCGGCCCAGCCGACGGGGTCCAGTTCCAGCTGCTGCCCTCGGACGATCGAAGGCCCAACCTTGGACATCGCGATCGCAAAGTCCGAGGCCCGGACCAGCCCGTCTTCCCCGCTCGACGCGACCCCTCCTTTTCCTCCTCCTCCTCCTCCTCCTCCTCCTCCTCCTCTGCTTTCGCCGCCGCCGCTGCCGTCGGCGCGTGAAGCAATGGCGGCCGCGGCCGCGGAGAATGCGGCCATCGCGGCCTCCCGCGCCAGTGCCGCCAGATCAGCACCCGAGTAGCCGTGGCAGGCGGCGGCGACGGCAGCAAGGTCCACGTCAGCGGCCAGCTGCAGGCCGGCGGCGTGGAGCCTGCGCGGCAGCAAAAGCAAGGGGGAGGAGGGGGGGTTCGAACCTGTCCGGCGGCCGGGTGTGGGGCATCGGAAAGAGCCTGGCCCGACAGGAGGGGCGCGCGGGTTTGGCATGCGCCAGTCGTCGCGCGGCTGGCAATGCAGCGCGAGCGCCGGCGCCTGAGAACCCAAAGCAGCAGATGCGGCTGCGTGCATACGGCATACGCTTGTTAACTCTCATGGCAACACTCATATACATACATGTGTATATTTATATACACATGTATATAAATATACCAGCGCACCTCAGGATTGCCGCCCGCTCCGCCGGCCCCGGCACCGGCACCGCCACCTCCCTATCAAGCCGCCCCGGCCGCCTCAGCGCCGGATCCAGCGCGTTCGGCCGGTTCGTCGCCGCGACCACCACCACCCGCCCCTGCTTGCCGCCGCCCCCGCCGCCGCCGCCGCCTCCGCGCCCCGTCGAACCGCCGCTGCTTCCGCCGGCGCCGTCCAGCAGCGTCAGCAGCTGCGCAACGACGCGTGACTCATGCTGCTGCTTCCCCTCCCTCCTGGGGCACAGGGCGTCCACCTCATCCAAGAAGACGACCGCCAGCTTCCCGGCAGCTGCGTCGGAGGAAGCTGCCTCGAAGGCGTCGCGCAGGCGGCGCTCGGACTCGCCCACATAGGCGCCGAAGACGGTGGCGGCAGTGACGGGGTGGAGGGTCGCGCCGTACTCGTCTGGTGTGCGTGTGTGTGTGTGTGTGTGTGTGTGTGTCAGTGTTTGCATGTGTGGGCGCGTGTGCGAGGGTGACGGTGTGGGAGGGTGGTGGTGCGAGGCGGGAGGAGAGGCAGAGGCCCGGGGTACCCTGTGTCACGGGCCGACTGCATCTGCCAGCCGCCGCCCTGGAAGCGCCCATGCAGAGTCAACGGCGCCGCAAGCCCCGGCCGCCCGGATGCAAACCGACGCTTTGGGCAGGCGCCCGGGCTCCCCGGCCCCCTACCCTACCCCTCCCAAGGCCGCATAACTGCAGACCCAGATTTAGCGGACAAGCCC